AGAAAGAAATATTACTCGAGGGAATGGCACATGGTCTGAAATGAGAAAACATTGCATCAGCTTAAAATCATTTTAGTAAAGAAAGAAACAATACTCAGGCGAATGACACACGGTCTGAAATGAGAAAACGCTGCGCCCAACGTAAAGAGGTTCATTGGAATTGGTTTGAACCAGAGGAGTCTAACTACAGAGTTTCACACAGGAAGCCCAAGCAGGTCACGTGACAATCAACATTACCTGACGTTCACAACATTTACATTTGGCTACACATGACAGAATGGAACCAATCAATGCAAGTAGAAAGGTAAATGCAAATCCTGAAATCCATCCAAAAAAATACGGGCTTAAACTTTCTTTTACTTTCGTTTTCTTTCCAATGAGAGGAAACATCGTATCTGATGGATGGAAAAAAATACATATATACAGTCAATGTCATTAACGTTGTCCAACAAAAAAAGACATTTACACATTTACACATTTAGACATCTAGACATTTACACATTTACACATTTACACATTTAGACTAAAAGAAATATCACGTGTTTCCTTGAACGTTCTTGCATAAAACAAACGCTGAAATACCATTCTCCATCTTAAATCCTTACTAAATGTTCAGGGCATTCTGGATTTTTGATTCACGAGTTGAATTTTACATTTAAAGTTCAGGCTGACGCACACGAGGTAAAGAATACATAATGAAACACGTGATGTATCTTTTAGTCTAAATGTGTAAATGTGTAAATGTCTTTTTTCGGTGGACAACGTTAATGACATTGACTGTTTAAGAAAACAGGCTTTCGTCAAAACAAAAAGGTTTGACCCTCGGGGACAAAAGGTAACTGATTTTTACTGGTGAACGTCCGCCATTAAGCTCCAGCCCCACCCCCCAAATAAAAAGCGTACCTTTCCTGGCAAATTTCATCATATTTCAATTAAAAAGACTATAAGTACAGGGGCTTTTAAAAGTGTCCAAAACTAACAGAGAACTCGTTGTCAAGGGGACGCCTCCAAGACTTCTCATGATCAATAAACAAAATTGTTTTGCTAATAAAGCTTTTAATAACTTGTGACGCATTTCCGGGTCCAACTCCTCTCAAAAACCGCTAAAATAAAGCGAGTAATGTTCTCATTAATAATATGGGCTCCAATTGAAACAATTATACCTTGGGAAAAAAATCCTGCCATGAAGAAAAACAAAGAAAAATCTCTATAGAATTGCTTATTCGTTTTGAACCCGGGAAGTGGTTTTCCCGTACGTTTGAAGTTCCACTTAAAAGCTTTATTAGAATCAAATTCAAAACTCGCCCCATTCGTTTCTAAAGTGGCCAATCGGCTGACGTCAATGATATTTGTTTTGTATTTCAGTTGTAAAGGCATGTTTTATACTGACCCGTCCAAATAGGAGACCAGGAAAAGACGCCAACCACCAGAAACTCGGCACTTGATAGACATGTCAAGATGCAGAACACCATGAACGACATGACCTGGACAAGAGAAATATCTTATTTTAGCAAATTTCATTGGCTGACGAGGAAATAGTGAGAAGAACACCATGACCTGGACATGACCTGGACATGACCTAGACATGATTTGGACAATGAAAATATTATAGTAAAATTCATTGGCTGACGAGGAAATGGTGAGGGAAAAACTCCAGAAGAACATGATCTGGACATGACCTGGACAAGAGCCACGGAAATCACATCACTTAAAAGCAATGCCACAGAGATCACTCGAAGGTAAGTAAATATTGCAGAATAACAAAAGAGTATTGAGACTTCAATAATGTTATAAATAATACAACCGACACTATTTGAGAAAAACGTTTGCGCATGCGTGCATTTCAGCACGTTTTCTAAGAATTTAGAAGAGTTTTGAGTGAGAAAATAAATGTTTGTTTTCTCAGAGTGTACAAAAAAGTATACTTTTTCAAGCGAGTATATTTTTGTGAGACCAAAATACTGTATTAACAGATACAATATGAAAGAATTAGCCTTACGCTTCAAGTAGAACCTACCGCACATTGCCCTCGTTTGCAAAGAGCTGCTATCCCCAGAACGCCTGACATAGTTTGCTGTAAAATAAGCAATTTTTCTACGTTAAATTCAGTGACTTATTATATGTCTTACTATCGTGATCGAATTCTTATTTCTGCTACCAGTTATTTCTGCTTTATGACACTGATATATGTATCATAACCACGTGTCTTTACCGTCTTCTGACTAGCTCAGAGGTTGTTTCAGGGTTCAATCTGTGAGTTAGCCATACCCTGACTTAGATCAGCCCAGAGGTTGTCTTAGGGTTCCATCTGTGAGTTAGCCATACCCTGACTTAGATCAGCCCAGAGGTTGTT